CGTTAGCTTCGGTTAAAAAGTCATAATCAAAGATCAAGATATATTCAAAACTATAGTACATGCACGGTTAATCTACTCGAGGTCCTCTTCGATTTCGACGGACGAGCCTCTTGTGGGAATGCTGGTGGACAGAACCATCTAAGAGGCGTGTAACGACAAAAATAAAAGGGTACCTTTCGCACAGCAGGCAATGCGGAAACTAGTTTCGAGAACACCGGCGGACTAAGAGACTGCTGCAGAACCTGCAAAAGCTGGGTGGGCTGACCGCAGACGACGACAGCTAGAGCGAAACTTTGCACTGCTTCATCAATCGCACCAGTAGAGAGTGCGACTTCGCCTTGCTGAATCTGCTCAAGAAAGAAGCGGTGAATCGCCTTGGGATCATTCAGGGGTGGCAATGACGGCATAGACTGCTTCTTAGCAGAAAGTTCTCGTTCTCGGCGTCCTGAAATAGTTATTTTTGAAGAAAGGCACAGTTACGTTGCGCTAATTTAATTCGGAATTGTGGATCACTTCGTCTTTTCCGATCGAAATACACACAATATGTTAAAAATCCAACGCCAATGCCAGCTATTGCGTACTTCACGAGGGTAGCCACCATCTCGAATAGGACCACACAGAATTCAAAATTGGAACTAAACGAGGCAAGTCGGTGAGCTAATGAAAGGCCAGTGTTCATGGTGGCGGAAGATATGGCTGATTCAGATGCCTACGTTTGGGTAGGTAGACGAGTGTCTGATCTGCACAGTAACTGGCGCTTTCTCTCAGTTGTCATCCAAAAGGTTGAGTTAACCCTAGTGTAACAGGAAGGCACACTCAAACCCACTGCTGCACCTTTTCGACAGGAGTTTTTTTCACTTCTGGCCGGATTTGTGGGGGGTTTTCTGAATGCAAAAATCGAGTAACAGTTCTCTTAAACAAAGAATAATTTTACAAAGTTGTCACATTACTGGGTATTTTACTTCGAATAGAAGTTGCATTTACAGAAAAGGACGACGCTATTTATCGGTACGTGCCAGAAGAATAGTCAAAAAGACGTTACAGTGACTGTCATGTTGAGGGGGGGGGGGTGGACAGGATATCTTAAAGTAGTCAGCAGATTAAAGGTACGATTATATCAAACCTTAAATAGCAAAAATAATCCCTTCTGTAATCTACAAACCATAAAGGGTCAAGGCCTGTAAGCCGGTAACGTTCTTTGTAAGACAAATGTCGGTGTTCCGGGGTAAAAACTATCTTGGTAAAAAAGCGTCGAACGGATTCTATTCTCTTTCGCTCAGCAGCTCGTATGAGGCTTAATAAAAACGAACAGTATTCCAGGCCAGGTCTAACGTACATGTTATAAAGGCGCATTCTAATATTGCCGGATTCAGAGTTTCGGAGGATAAACCCGGCCGTTCTACGTTCTTTGGAGACTATAAAGGCATAGTGATCCGAAAAATTAAGACTCTTGGAGTGTGATACGCCCAAAGCCTTAATAACCCCAGACACATTTATGTCGTGACCGTCAATACTTGGTTTAGGTCTGCACCACCAATGACTGAGCACTAATGTCAAGAAAGCGAAAGGCGCCATGTGCGACAGCACTGGGTAAAGGCCCGTAGGTCGATCTTTAAGAGATCGAGCACGATATCACGATCTGCCGGCTTATATCCATATGCAACTTTCAGATCATCGGTAGACATGAAAGGTTTACCATTCTTAAATAAATCGGGAGCATCGTTAACAAAAAGTGGACAACTACTACTACTGTTATTATTATTATTATTATTCGAACAACCCTGTCCACTTAGTTGGGTGTTTGAACTGAAATGGTTTCACTTTTTGTTTAATGAATGTTAAATGACACATATGTCTTTTAAAATGGAAACATGGCTTGGACTCTGTCCCTTTTTTGTTGCTATAGGCTCTTCCGTCGAGGCCTGTCTCACGTGCCACTTAGCGGCCTGCAACCTTACGCCACCCCTGTTGCGTCGAGGATCTCGTAAGAACCCTATTGTCAGGACAATCCTGCCGGAACGATTATGATCGTGGATTTCATTACTCTTATCTACTTCCGATGCATTAATTTGTATATAATTATCAAATTATCAGCATCTGTCATGTGAATACATTTCTCCGAATTTGCGTCTACTGGGCGATTTATTGCGTGGACACTTGCATTACAATTTCGCACAAGACTAGCACCAGTCTAGCACAGAATCTTTCACCCCCCATTTTTGTAGGAAATGGTATCGAAGAGACAACGGATGCTACACTGATGGCAAAGGTTTCCTCGAGCTCCATTCTCCGGTCCCCTATCACTCCTACCTCACATTCCCGCATCCCCTCCAACCTAGCAGCATTTGATGAAAAAGAAGATTTCGCGGCTTTGTCTAGTTGATCAGAGTTCTAAGCTCGTGTGGTGCTCGGTAATGACCAGAGCAAGGCCATCTTACAATGTCTGACATCTACAAAACTTAATAAGGTATTGGATAATGATATGTTCACAGGCACACCCATTTGGGGACTCTGTGAACAGTTCGAATGTCTATTGAAACCTCTGAGCTCTAAAGGGGAGGATATCGATCACATATACAATTGGTGGCGTTTAAATGGGAAGCTACCGTTGAAGCTATCTGGCTTACTCCTCTTGGTGAAAATGGTAGGGTTTCTCTTTTGCCAAAGGATGATATAAATAGGTCATCTAAGCTACCGATGCCCTCTTATACTCGTAACCACCCCGACTACCCTATAGAGCACATATTCGAACGAAAACGCAGGAATTCGTGGGCAGGGTAGATGGGAAACGCCATTACAGTAGTCTGAAGCCCCAACTAGTCCTGATAGGTTGTTCGGGACAGTTAGTCGACAGCATGAGTTCGAATCCATGCGAGGATTTTGTAAATCGTCTTCGTAATCATACAGAGAATTCACAGGAAAAATAAAATAAAGGATACCGGGACCGCCAACAGTGTTTTGTTGTTCGGGGCTTGACTGTATTATATGCAGTCGGACCTGAACACCGTGGTTCGGAGGATCTTACTCTTTTCATGGTCTTCTAAGCACACCATTCCAAACATCTATGGAAATAAAAGTTCTGAAAGCATCCCGGATAGGAAAAAAAGATTGAAAACAGCAAAGCAACACAGCTACCTTGTTCTCTCAAAATTATGCTGGAGTAAAAAGTGCAAATCAGTATAATTTAGTATGTATGACGGAGATGGGCATAGCCTTTGAAAACCCTATTTGCACATAAAAACTAAAAAAACGTGCGGATGTGTACGATGATATACGTGTGCATTTCATCAGTTCTTATGAAGCAAATACATGATCATCATATAAAATGTCATCAAGTCTTCGTCTAAAAGCCTCAGCGCTTTCCGCCGGAACGACCGGATCAGGTAGTTTGTCCCAATCCTCACTCACCCGGCGCGAGAGGAAATTCGCCTGCACTTCAAGCTTGGCGTACTTTGTCTTCAGTTTATATTTGTCGTTTGGCCCAAACATTAACTCTCTCTTGTAGGCAATACAGAGGCGATATGATCAGGGAGCATAAGGTCATGGTCAAGCGGCTGGTTTTAAATTTGAAGATAATTGGAGGATATTATTTTTAGTGGTTTTTCTGTGAGATCTAACGATTTTAGTACCTGTTTTTTTGGTTGAATTTCCTTAAATACAGGTCTTTTCTCTAAGAACTGCCCGCTGCCATCTCCTTTCGAGTTTTGCTAGTCTATGCCCGCTGTTCACTAATCGCAATTTGCAATTCTCATTTTGTGCATCCGATTTCCCTCTAACTGTTGTAATTTATTTTTACATAGTTAGCCCCTAGCTGAAATTCAGTCAACTTGTCTGCCAGAAGTTTTCTTAATCACAAATTGCCTCGAGACAAGATGAGACCAAAAGTCACTGGTCGACGTAAGCCCTCGGCACTTGTAAGTAAACATGGCCTAACTAAACGTAAGTCAGAAGCTTTACCTAAATCTAAGTCAGATGATATTACTAGTCAGTCGTCGCCCGTTGTAATTGGTCGGCAGCTTGATCTGTCTGCACTTGACCACTGCAATGACTTTATGCTAAAGTTTGGCTCTTAGCTGACAATTCTTGGACATTTATTCGACGGGAACATCTCCGATATTCCCTCTGAAGAATGTAGGCGTCTCGACTCACTTGTTCACCTGATCACCAGTGAATCTAGTGATAGACAGAAGCGTTCTTACAATTTCCTGCTAAAAAATGTTCCTCGATCTGCTCGGCCAATTGATGTTGCGACCAGTTTCCTGTATTCATGTGGTTTCCACTATAAAATAGCGGATGCCAAACGCTTGTCCTCCCGTAGTACAAATCCACCCATCTTAGTCAAATTGTTTTCATCTATCGAGGTTGACACAATCTTTACCCATCGAGAGCGTGTCACTGCGTACCTAGAGAAGGCAAAATTTTTCCTTTGTCATGATCTTACTCCTATGGAGCGTTCAATGTGGTCTCTATTCTCACGTAAACCTATTGCTTCTCAGTCTAATGCTCCCCAACTCGGTCATAATACAAGTGGCCGTAAGGATTCAGCTTCTCCTACTCCTGCGACATCTGACTCCCTCCTTCCTCTTTCTCCTACATCTCCATCTCACACAAGCCACTTGACGCATTTGCCTGCCCCTAAACTTGCAGCAGCAGCAGCAGCAGCAGCAGCAGCAGCAGCAGCAGCAGCAGCAGCAGCAGCAGCAGCAGCAGCAGCAGCAGCAGCAGCAGCAGCAGCAGCAGCCCCATTTGTCGTTTCGTATCCTCCGGATAGTCCCGCTGAGACACATGAAAATCCGTCTACATCAGCTAGACCGATAACTTCTATTGTCCAACTGGGTGCTGTAAGGTCTACAGCTAAGTCACCAGTGGCTTGGCGTCAGAACGGTGAGACTCGAAAATTGAATCAGACTCCGACCCAAAAGAAAGGTAGTACAGTTCCATTTGGAGGTACGATGCCTTCTCTTAGATCTAACAAGTCTTTTCAGCCCAGCACGTCTACAAATCCCGCAGCTCCAATTATATCCCCGAATAATTCTCTGTTCTGCGTACCGGTTACTTATCAAAGCCCTACTATATATCCAGCAAATAATTCATACATGAATTGCCCTAAATCATTTATGCCCCAACCTAGTTCAGGCTTCCCAAAACTTAAGGCCAACTGCTCTCAGGTACGTCAACCTATCTCCTTTGACTTCCAATCTAGACCTGGTTTCCCACTATTTCATTCTTTTAGTGGCCTACCCTCACCCATTAGCCCCTACTTTCCTTCTAGCCTCCCTCCTCCTCCTCCCCTTCCTCCATTATTTAACTACCAACAAGTCTATCCATGTTCTAACTCGCCTAGCATTTCAATGTTTGAAAACTATATCCCCACCTCCTTTAGGTCTCATACTCAGCCTTCTCTTGCTGACTCCCCGTACGTCAATAACTCTAAATTAACTGGTACTTATTCTCCAAGTGTCATTACTTCGCAGCTTACATATCCGCCTCCAAATGTTTTTAAATACCGTCGAAAATAGCATTGCCGTTCGAAACACATTAGATATTATATTATTGAATGCCAGGTCTGTTATAAACAAGATGGCCCAAATCAGAGCCATTGCTCTGGAAATGACGCCTGATATTATATGTGTAACAGAATCTTGGACACATTCTCTAATTCCTGACTCTGCCCTTCTCATAGATGACTTCGATTTTTACCGCCAAGACCGCACGACTAGGCGTGGGGGTGGTTGTCCTCTTTATCTTAAATCCTACCTAAAGCACTCTCCCTATTACTTGGATGTTTCCTCATTCACGGGAAACTTCTGCTTTGCATCTGTTATTCTCTCGCCGCAAAGAAAGGCAATTATTGGCTGTATCTACAATCCCCCAAATTCTTTAGCCAGTGATGATTCACAACTCTGTGAAATCTTTAAATTAATTTCGGAAGCTGCTTTCGATGTTAAAATAATCACAGGGGATTTTAACCTTCCTGAAATTGACTGGGTTTCCAATAGCTGCCCACCCAGATTCCAGTCCTTTCAAGATATTATCAATTTTTCTAATCGGTCCCAACTGGTGCGCTCTCCAACAAAAGATAATCACATTTTAGATCTAATCATTTACCAATGATATTGCTCCTCTTTCTGTTGCTTTAAAAAAGGACCTCTTTGACAGTGACCACGTATTAATTCATTGTTGCCTACCGCTTGCCTTTTCAAAAAAGACAAGCGCCGTTCAGACTTTCATAGATAGCGACTTAATAAATAACTATATGAGATCTTTGGATTGGTGTGGCTTCCTCACTTGTAGCGATGTAACCATTCTTCGTGATGTCATGTCCAATGTTTCCAAGGACATTCTAGAGTTTGTGCCGCGTAGATATCTCAAGCCTAATTCTTCAGATTCTCATGTTCCTCATTTTCTTCAGAACAGACTAAAAAGTTGAGGCGACAACTGCGTGACCTATCCACTAGTTCCTTATCAGTTCATCTTAGAATCACAGAGATATTTGAGATGGCCTCAAGGATGCGCCAAGCGCGCGACAGGCAAAGAGAATCAATTGCTCTCAGTGGTTCGAACCCTGGCAAATCCGTCGCTAGCTTCTTCCGTCATCGGTCCTACTCTAAGCGTGGTCATGAACTTCCACCCATGCTAAATGATAACAAAGTCTTCCTCACCGGTGACACTGACAAGGCGGAGTTGTTTAGTGCTTTCTTTGCAAAACACCTTGCTACCGAGTCCGATCCGGTCCCTTTCTTTCGATCACTTTCAGATAGGACACTTAGTACAATTGATGTCTCCTCAGATCTCATTAAGAAACACATAAGCCGTTTGAAATACTCCCACTGCTCAGGAACGGACGGGATTCCGAATTCGATTATTAAACAAGCGTCCGACTTTCCCATATTGCTCAGTCATCTATTCTCGATTTATATTTCAAAAGGATTCTTTCCTGAAACATGGAAAACGTCAATTATCATTCCCGTTTTCAAGTCAGGATCTCGGTCCGGTGTTAATAACTATCGGGGCGTGCACAAAACGCCGTCTCTAGCAAAACTTCTTGAAAGGATTATTTTCAATGAAATTCTTGACTTCTGTCTAGCTAATCGGCTTCTGAGCTCTAGTCAGCATGGAGTTTTACCTGAACGATCCTGCGAAACATGCCACTTGGCTTTTGTTAATCTAGTCACTTCTCTTCGTAATGAGCGGCAGTCAGTGGTAGTTATTTACTTTGATCTTAGCAAAGCCTTCGACAAGGTGCCCCATGGACGTATTTTAGTAAAATTGGAAGCCCTCGGCATCCGGCCGCCTCTACTCGATTTCATCAGGTCATATCTGTCCAACCGATATCAGAAAGTCATGGTCGGTAATAGCTACTCGACACCTCACACGATCACGAGTGGCGTACTTCAAGGCACGGTCCTGGGTCCGCTACTCTCCCTTCTGTACATCAATGATATTTCGACTGAACTCGGAAATTCGCAATTTTTTCTTATGCCGATGACCTCAAGTGTGTTTACTCATACTCTAAGGACACCGCAAATGTTTGTGTTGAAAAAATTAATGCCGATTTACTACGCTTAAGCAGATGGGGTTCGACATGGCAGATGGAGTTTTCCTCATCCAAGTGTAGTTTCATGTCTTTTGGTCCTACCAAACTTCCTGGTCCCATAATTTTTCAGAATAACCCACTTTCAGAATGCCTCACCATAAAGGACCTAGGTCTAAGTTATACAAATAAACTTGCTTTATCACCTCATGCAGATAGAATCTCTGCCAAAGCCGCGCAGATATGTGGATTCATATCGCATAATTTTTTTCCTTCCGGAAATGAAGCTAAGACTTTATCAAATGTTTGTTCTTCCAGTCCTCGAATATTGCTGTCCTTTCTTCGGTTTAATGAACGCCTGCGACCGTAATAAAATCGAAAATGTTCAGAGGGTTTTCACTGGGAAACTGTTCTCTCAAGCTTCGTCCAGTATTTCTTATACTCAGAGATGTCAGCTGGCGAACATGAAGTTTTTGTGGGTTAGAAGACTCGAAGCTGGCCTTTGCTTCCTTTTTCGCATCAACTCTAGCTCCAGTCTTCCGCACATTGACACTCTCACTCCGAGAGATCGGTCTTATGCCACGCGCAACTCCTGCATTGTGATTCCGCCGACTCTTTGTACTACATCTAAGCGCTCCCTCTTCTTTGCTTCCAAATATGCCTTCCTTTGGAATAATCTTCCGCCTGAAATTAGATTATCGCCTAGGTTACTGATATTCAAGTCGAAATTACGCAGCCATCTTACACCGGAAAACATAAAGGCACTGTTAACGGTCTCATTCCCGAACAGTCAGATTCTTGACTTCGAGAAGGGTCCTCCTGGGATTTAGTGGTAGATTAAGTGGTAACTCTTAATTATATCATTAGAAACCCCTGTTTTTAATTGGTTTCTAAATCCATCGCTATCCTTCCCCCCATAGCGACAATTTTCGCGGTTTTTGATGTCATCTCCCGCATTCCGACCTCATGCGGTCTGTCGACACTCACGGCGGAACCCTCAGTCTTCACAGTTTACTAATAGTTCGGTCGTACCTCCCTTCCTCACTGCTCGGCTGAGCTCGAAGCGTGTTGTGGCCGATCGCATCTGGGTTCCTCTCGTCTGGCCTCTTTGACGCGGCGTACCAATCCGGCCCAGACGATCTCAATTGTGAATCCCGTATACAATGCCATTTGCAAGCCAGTCCTGTCTGACCCACATTCGTACCCATCAAGGCGGGCATTTGTTGATACTCTGACGATGACCGAAAACATTCCGTTGTATACCGCCACCTACAGGCCAGTCCTGCTCGCTTTTTTCTGTTATTATTTTTAAAGAGGGGTTTTTTTCTCCTGTAAAATTAATCTAATCATTTTTACCTTTTTCCAAGGAGTTTTTTTTCACCCCTCAATCATCATGTTTCTCAATGGACTTCTAATTCAGAAACTATGAATTGCATTTTGTAAAGATTCGGCCTACCTCGTCTAAAACTCGCATGCAAATTTATTTTAACTTGCTTTGATGGGACCCCGACGGGTCTTTAATAAAAATTATCTATCTATCTATCTATCATGGTCTTCAGACTTGTTAGAGGAGTAGACTGTGAACTTAAATTGGTCAATTTTTTTAAAGTTTGGGCCTTTCTGACCATTCCTCGTAGGGTAGTCTCTTCAGCTAACCGACTAGTTTAGTCGCTCTTTCATGCACCTTCTCCAGGAGAATGCAATCTTGCTTCATCCCGGGGCCCCATGCCTGAATGCCATATTCCAAAATCGGCCAGATGAATGTTCAAAACAGTCGACTGAAACGCTCTTCCTCGAAGTTGGGGAAGGATCTCCGGATCGCTTCCAGGATACCAATGGCCTTCGTTGATATTTTGGCGCAGAAAGACGAGGGTTTGAGAGTGGACGCCATCCACACACCTATGCCCTTTACCTCGTTTACTAGGTCGAGTTCGTGGCCTCCGAGGAAATACTGACATTCAGATGCCAATTCCCTTCTCTAACTAGACCTTAGTCTAATGAATTGACATTTGTTAAAATTGAGGTTGAGAAACCATTCATCGCACCACTCTTGCAGTCGATTTAAGTTATTTTGCAAGTTAAGCGCGTCCTCTGGCTTTTAAATCGTACTCCATATCCTTAGATCATCAGAGTACACTACCCTCTCACAGGTCAGACAATCTAGACAATTGTTCACATATACCAAAGAACAGAATGAGACCCAGGAATGTCCCATGCGGAACCCCGCCATGAACGTTTTCCCACTCTGATTTGGCGTCACCAATGCACACATTCTGAGGTCGGC